GCCGGGTATGAATTTGTGTCTGCCCACAGAAACGGTTGGGTAAAGTCCCTCTGAGATCATATACTCCGGTCTGTCGTCTATCACCCCATTGTCAGCTAAACCACAGGGCACTAACTGGCACGTCCAGTCTTTCTTTAAACACCTCCAGGGACAGTGACTCTACCTCCTCCCTGGGCGTTCTAATTCAATGTCTAATTACCCTTTCTGTGAAGAAATTCTTCCTAATGTTAACCTAAACCTTCCTTGGCACAGCTTAACGCTATGTCCTCTCGTCCTGTCGCTGGTTGCCTGGAAGAGAGTGATTGCCACCTGGCTACAACCTCTTATTAGGTAGCTGTAGAGAATGATAAGATTAACCCTGAGCCTCCTTTTCTTCAGGCTGAACAACTGCTTCCTCAGCTGCTCCTCATAAGACTTGTCCTCCAGACCCTTCACCAGCTTCATTGTTCTTCCTTGGACCTGCTCCAGCACCTCAGTGGCCTTCCTGAACTGAGGAGCCCTGAACTGGACACAGTGTTTGAGATGTGGCCTCACCAGTGCTGAGCACAGAATCACTTCCCTAGTCCTGCTGGTCATGCTATTTCTGAAACAGGCCAAAATGCCATCGGCACACAGCTGGCTCATACATGTGTGCAAGAAAGCCCATCCACATTGACTGCTGTGAAAGAGTGCAAGCATCCCATAACCTTCCTGTCTGGATCTGGGCTGACCATTGTGTGAGGGTGCTGTGACAGGGAGAGGCATCAATGGATGCAGCACTCAGGTGCCACACCTTGCCTGGTGCAGCTTTGGGAGAGAGCGCTGTGCTGTCCTTGTACCTGTAAAACATCTCTGCATACTGCTTACAAATAACCTGATATTGTTGGTGCAACTACGTGGGGCTGCAGAGTAATTTTGTGAGTAATGGCTTGTGCAGGGCCAGCTGGGCATTGCTGGAATAGGAGTAAAGTTGTATTTTACTGAGCTGTCTTGTGAACCATGCAACAGAATTGCTCTTTGTGTATGACATTTCTGATTTTCTACTCATAGTAATGAGTTTTTAGATCTGAATAGTTTGTTGGGACCACCAGTTTTGTGCCATAGGATTCTTTCCCATGGATCTTAGAGGGCACATGCTTATCCTTTGTTCTTTCGAAAGTTGAAGCACGTGTTGTTTCCTAATACAGTGGAGGAACTTGACACACATGTAGTGAAAGGGTTTTGATCTCACTGCAATTACAGAGACATGGGATAGCTTGCATTACTGCAGTGTTGTCATGAAGAGCTACGCACTGTTTAGGAGAGACAGACAGAAAGGTGCGGTGGTGGAGTTTCCTCTCTGTGAGAGAGCACTTGGAGCGTATAGATCTCTGCCTTTGGTGGACAACAAGCAAATCAAGATCTCATGGGTAAGGAAAAAAGGGCAGACTAATAGAGGTAACACTGTTGTGGGTGTTTGCTACAGGCCACCTCATGCAGGAGAAAGTGCATGAGGTCTTCTACAGACAGCTGGAAGCAGCCTCACAGTCACAGGCCCTGCTTCTGGTGGGGGACTTTAACTACTCTGACACCTGCTGGAGAAACAACAGGTGACAAAAGTGATTAAGGGTCTGGAGTATCTCTCTTATGAGGAAAGGCTGAGGGAGCTGGGTCTGTTCAGCCTTGAGAAGAGATGACTGAGAGAGGACCTCATCAGTGTCTATGAATAACTGAAGGGAGGGTGTCAGGCTCTGCTCAGTGGTGCCAAGCAATGGAACAAGAAGGCATTGAGTAGAAACTGATGCACAAGAAGTTTTACCTGAACAGGAGGAACAACTTCTTTAATGTGACCAAGCATGGAAACAGGATGCCCAGAGAGTCTCCGTCCCTGGAGAACTGTCTGGACACAATCCTATGCCATGTGCTCTGGGATCGCCCTGCTTGAGCAGGGAGGTTGGACAAGATGATCCACTGTGGTCTCTTCCAACCCACCCAGCCTGTGATTCTGTGAAAATAAGAATTCAAAATAACAAAGAGAGGGTCTGTGTACCTCCAGGTGTTGAAAAGTACTGCATAGCATAGCACAAAAATGGCTTAGCCCTGCAAAGTTTGCACTTTGGTATGGGACTGTTCCTTGCAAACAGTAATCTGGTATTTCTGAACTGTTGTGAGTAGAAAAGTTGTCCAGTTTTTTAAAGGTTGCAGAGTTCACAAGTTAAACCAATTGCTGCCAAGTTGGAATTCTAACTATTTGTTGCTAATAATTTCATGTTGTAATCACCTGTTGTTATGAACAAAAATTCAGTTAATATTTTTTTTGTGAGAAAGAGTTACAGGGACGCAGCCAGATCTGTCTCTGCCAAGATTCTTAGTGCTTTGTTATTGTAATACCGGGTCATGGAGGCTTATCTCCTCTTTTGTATTAGTAAAAGCCCTGGCTGGGTGCGGTGGATGGCCCTTCCCCGAGGCTGTGCTCTCTTACAGCATAGGGAAGACACCTGAGAGGGTGGGGGGGGTTATGCAAAGTGACTCCAAAGTCTAGAATGCTTTGTGGGACCCCGACTCCAGAGGCACAGAGAAAACCCCAAAAACAATGAGCCAAATAAGAGTTGAGAGACTAAAGTGATGTCTGGACGTGAGGAGCCGAGTGCTGAGCCTGCAGAGATGCTGAACACCTTCGGAGCCCCTCTCGCCCTGAGCAAAGAGTCGTCCCAACGCCGGGACTAGCCATCTGGGAAGCTCACAGGATCAAGATCTGACGGGGACATCACGCCCTAAAGGCTTGCACGAGGACTGGATCCCCCGGCTCTGCCCCTAGCGGACAGAGCTGCGCATATCCTCCTCCTCTGAGCCGCCCTGGGAGACTCGACGGGGACTGCAGCCCTGCCGGGACGCCCAATCCTGAGCTGATCACTTTTAATAAAGGCATTAAAAAGGAGAAGAAGTCTCCTGGCCCTGTTTATTTCACCTGTTGTTAATAGTTTTCCTTTAATTACCTGTTCTTGATGGTTAGAAATCCCCCTTTGTTGAGTATCACCCTGCTGCTTCCTGGAAGATGGCACCCGGGACTGTGAGGAGGAGGTGACATCGGGGTTGGCATGCAAATGAGGAAACCCCTCACCAAATCCAGCAGGAAAAACCTCTAAAAAAACGAGCCACCACAGAATTAAGAGATTGAAGTGATGTCTAGACGTGAAGAACAGAATCCAGTGTCCACTAAGACCTGTTTTACCTTTCACACTAATCTAAAAAGAAAGAGGAACCCGAATGTCATACTGAAGAACCAGGAATCTCCTGGTGCTCTTGTGAGGATGGAAGCCCCAGCTCTGCCTGCAGACCAGCGAACACAGCTGCACTCTTCCTCCTCCTCCGTGCCACTCCTGGGAGCAGCGGCAGCATGAGAGCGGCCCGTCAGTTCTTCCCACCCAAGCTGATTTTTAATAAAGGCATTAAAAAAGGAGAAATATCTCCTGCCCTATTTATTTCATTAACTGATTTGCACCTGTACTACCAGAGCATAGATCAGTTTCAAGTATGGCTCTGAGGAAAGTGTGGAGGTTAATCCCTATTAAGGATTTGGGCTTCATTATCTGCCTCTTTTCACTGCAGATGATTTTTGGGGGTAGTGTCTGTCTGTATAAAGTGATAATCTTTGCTCAAAGGCATAGTCCATGTTCTTATTTCTGATCTAGTTCTGCTCTTTGGCAGCAGAGAATGCTGTGAAACTTCTGAAGCTCTGCAACAAGGAACAGATCTCAGCTTGTCTCTCTGAGCTCATCTCTCTTCTGCCATCAGCTGGAGAACATGATCCCTGATAAGCAAGAAAACCCGACCCAGTGGAGGTAGGAGTGAATGTGTTAAGAGAGGTCTGTGGCTTGTAAATAGCTTGGAAGTGCATAATGCATACTGTTTAGCATCAAAACGTTTAGATGTATTCAGTAGATACAATTCAAGAAGAAACTGAGCTATCACTGCTAGCCCTGGATAAAGAACTGTGGAAAGAGCAGCCAAAACCCCTAAGATGGTATTGCCCTTCCAAGCTCTTCACTGTAGTAAGCTCTGCTCTTTCAGTAGGTTTTTGTTAGACATTATTAAAAACAAATAAATGTCGGGGCCAAGACATGTTAAACACATTCCCGCTGATGTTGGTGCGGTTTTTTCTGTACTAGGTTGAATGCAATCTTTAATTTATAACATCTGATAATTCAGCTGGATGGGACCTCTGGAGGTCTCTAGTCCAGCCCCAGGGGTTCACCATTCTCAGTCTGGATGAGGTTGTGCAAGGCCTTCCTTGTCCAGCTGCAGTTAGAAAAACCTCTTTCCTCATTTTTCCTGGGCTCCTGCCTCAGCACTCCACCACCCCCACCTGGAAGAATCTGGTGAGAATTTCCTTTGCTGCAACGACATTGCCAGATCAATGTCTTGGTCTTGCTGGTGAGGTTTAGAAGCATGACTGCTTTACACACTGGGATTGCTCAGGCTGGATGCAGAAGCCTAGTCAGGCTTTCACTCTCTGTTGGTGGTGAGGAGTGACAGAGTGTAAAACACTCACACTCTTTCTGTGCTAATACTGTCATGTTAGCACCTTGTGAGGACCTCCTCTCTGGCAGCATATT